TTAGGTCGTGCTTGGTCTTCCGTGAGGCCCAGACCGGCTGGAGGGACTACTTGATGTGAAAAGAGATGAAATCTATCAACCGGTCTGAGTTGATCATGACTTTCATCTGATAGAGGGACGAGGTATAGGCTCAGTAGAAATGACCTAACGCTACCCTGCTAAGCCAGAATGTCAACATGTACAACGTACTTGAGCTGCCTATCTGCAGTACCTTAAAAATAGCACCGTGCACTTTGAATGGATGTCCTCTGCTCCATTACTTAACCCCGCAGTCAGCCACATTCCCAACCGGTCTGAAAAGGACGCCCCAGTGGGATCACAGCATGCCTAATGTAAGACAACCCGAAAAGGGCCGTGATACTGGGTCAATATTTCTGTTGCGGGAATCCCTTCACTTTACGTCCGACTTATTTTACCCCAGAGCGTGATTCGTCTCATACGGGAAACCCCAACCCCTGATGTCCGAAGGGTCGCCCTGGTCAAGGCGGCGAGTTGTCAGGCTGATACTCATCACTTCACCGCCAAAATGCAGGTATGTATCCTTAATTGTCTCATTCCAGCCAAAGAAACCCCGAGGCCTACTCCTGCCCCCAGAATATGCCGATTGACACGCTTTTGGTTGTTGAAATACTACTCTGCCTTCTACAAGTATAACTACGAGTGATCTTCCCCACATTTTCAAATGGTCGAAACGCAATATGCTTTATTAATATGACATTCCTGGTCTATCTTCGAAGGGAGACACTAACATATTTTGTCTAGAAGAGGAAGTGTCCTTTTCCAGACGACTCTCCCGCCAGAATGGCGCAGCAGCGACAAGATCCATTCCCTGTTGCTCCATCATTAACCATATTCTCCCCAGAGGATCAAGAGGCATTAGAGAAAGCCGCCTCAATCCTTAATCAGCCTGTTGATAATTTCCTCCGGGCCTTCATTACAACCAGAGCATCCACTGACAAGGGCGTGACTTCCTTCACGCACTCTTCCACTTGGAACAACGGCTATAGTGGCCTCAAGGAACATCGAAACAACATGGCAGTTGTCGATGGCTTAGAGCCTTCTAATGACGAATCTCGAGATGACTATAGCGACGAGTTGTTTCCCCAAGACCCTACCGCTCAGGATTGGGACACATCTGCATCAGACTTCCTTGACGGAGCAAACCGTGGGCGTGTCGGCGTACCTGGGAGTATGAACACCTGGATCGACGAGTTCTCAAATTTTCCGGAGCCAGTTCTGGGAAGCAATCCGTATCAACAGTCTGGCATCCATACGTCTATTATGGGTGCAGGCACGGACCATGAACGCAATAATCCAACTCAAGACACATATAGGCCTGTTACCATGATACCCTTTTCAACTTTCCATCTTACATCAAGCTCAGAGGTTTTTCCGACTGAGTTGTACACAATTGATGAGCACTCTCGACCCCTAAATGCCTTCCATTCTCTAGATTTTACAGCATCCGTCGACGTTCGACGGCCTACTAATGATGCTGTCGAGAATTGGGAATCTATCGACGCTATGATTCCCGTGGCAAAGCCGGAGATGTGTCACACAAACCCAATTGCCTCAAATGCTTCTGAAGAAAGCATTCCAGCTGTTTCTCATGAGAACGCCATTAAACCGGCAGTATACTCAGGCAGTGTTGAGCATGGGTTTGAACTGATTTCCTACATCCCCAACAAGACGCCAAAACCCACATCTGTATCTCGACCCCAGCGTCGAGGAGGGTTTCGAGATCAAAGACGAAGGGAGGAGACAGCAGAAACGCGCAAACTAAAGGCTTGCGTACGTTGTCGTATGCAAAAGATTCGTGTAAGCTCTCTTAGCAGCTATAGTACAAAGCAGCAATTAACGACATGTTCAAAGTGTGAAGCCGATACCAATGATCCTCACGGAGTCTGTCAAACATGCAAATCAGTCTCAAAGCAGAAGATCTATACTCTCCCATGTGTTCGCTACCGGATCACTGAGTGCACGCTCTTTCGTAAGGGCAAAGGGCCAGGGTTGGATTTCACTAGCAGGTGGCCAAAGATGGAGCTGAAGGACATCACCGACTGGGCATCTACAGAGGTGCGACTCATAAAGGTCAAGTCCGATGTCTGCGATGTCCCACTTCAACTCTTTGTGAGGAAGTTCAACCCTCATCCTCGAGACTCACTCCACCGATCATGGATGGATGACAAGACTAAGAAATTTTGGAAGACGACACCATATGCCATCGTGAACATGTCGACAGCCCAATCAACCATGCGAGATTACATAACTAAAAACGTATTTCGATGTGTAGATTATTTCTTGAAAACTCAGAGTGGCGATGAGTTGGTGAAACAGACATATAAGTTTGCTAGAAGATACATGGAAAGGGTGCAGGTAAGGGAAAACTCCTTTCTCAAGAGAAGAAAAACAGTGAGGTGATATCCTTGGGAGCAATGCTGATGTGCGGATGTAGGCACCTGCTGAAAGGCTCCTTCTTGGCAACTTCTTTCGACTTTGGTTCGCAGTTCGACGCACTACCACAATGGAACACATCGAGGGAGACGATACGCTTGATATGGAGCCTGAGAAGAATGACCGGTCGTTTCCACTCTTTGACAAAGTTCCCTTGCCACCGGTGATGATTCAACAACTAGATATGATCCTTACGCTCGGCATTCTGGTGCCTCTCAACAAGCAGGTGCTCGAAGACTTCCAAAAGGTCGTTCTAGAGAATCGACCAAGAAGCTGGATGACGATTTATTTGATTACCTTCATGTCATTACATAGCTGTGCAAAGGTCTCAGATGAGAACTATAAGAATGCAAGGAAGCAAGGTCTCCGGGTAATGCTTATTTCAGTATTCTGGAATGTCATCGCATTGCTAACATCAAGCCTTCCTGACAGCGACGCTACGCCATTCCAAACTTTATCTCTGAGCGGCATCATGGCGCAAATGTCTTCTTATCTCATTACCACTACCGCACTCAGCCCTGTAATCCATTCGAATTGGATTGGAAACAGAGGCACAAGACTCCCTTTGCTGACTTCACCACGGAAGACATTCTGTTCCTCGAGAAAACAAAGAAGCTGATGGAGGATAGAGGTATGGCAAATCATCACTATAGGGTAATCCACTCCACTCACAGTCAATCCTTTCTAGCCGATACAATCAGTTACATCAAAGACCAGAATCTTTACGAAGACGAATTATATTTCATATCCCAAATGTTTGAGGAGAAATGGACACCGCGGGAGACAACGATTGATTATGGTGACGGAACAATTGGTGATTTTCCGCTCAAAAAGTACTATGATGGCAATAAGGCCTAAAGAATTATTTGTAAACTAGTCTTTCAAGCTCTATTCTAGATGATGATGCAAATGACACGAACCTCTCCCAAAGAACTTCTGAGCCAGTCCCCCGAGCTTGGCATGTAGGAAGAGTGTTTCCACGGGGGTCGACAATCCTGTCATTGACACCACACTGCTCAAACAAGCCGCTCAGAAATGATTGTGACTTTTTTTTCTCGAGGGAGAATTTCTGCCCGAGCCAGAGTTTCCGACCGGTCGCCCAAAAATGGCGGCCAAATGAGATTCTCCCGACCGGTTCAGCCAAGCGGAGTGTACGTAGCTTCGCTGATAGAAAATATGAGGCGCCCAATGGGATTTGAAAGTGGGACACAAACTGTGTGACATCGTACCTTAGGTCGATTATAGTAAGACGCCGGAGCTGTGGACTCATGCAATTGTACATGACTAACCAATCTAAGGATGTTGATAGAAACCAAAGTGCTTTTACCGGTCAGTGTTCCTTTCGATATCACACCGGTTCCATTTAGAGAATTATAGCATTTGACAAGATTCGGCCGGTGTGTTCGTTTGAAGGCAAGGAAGATGAGACGTTGCAAGTCCGTCATTGAGAAAACTGTATCATACCGATATTACTCGGGTAGTGACATTTGAGCATCCTAAAATGGATACATAAGCGACGGTATGCCCTACTAAGCCGGTACCTGTTGTGTCCAGCAACTTAATCAAAGCTAGATCCCTGAAGCTGCGGCAGAGAACCAATTATCATCGTCACTCAGGATTCACATGAGCCCATTAGAGGACCACTATCACTGTTTGAAGCATGTTAGTCACATTCCAGGCCACAAACGAATTTACATTGGGAGTCGGTGGAGCTGAGGCTGAATGTTTGGGCGTATTATTTCCTGAAGTACTCGATGATGAGGAACTTGGCCGTGCCGTTGTTCTAAATCGACCCGAGGAAGGACTGGTCAAAGGGCCGTATACGGGTTTGCTACGTTTTAATGGTAAGGAAAAATGACATCCTCAATGCAATGTCCATGTTTAAAGTGACAAATGATTCAGGTATCTGCGCATTACCACACCAGTCAAATACCGAAGCAACTGCCAAAAATACACAAACCTGGTCAACATTTGTATCTTTGGACACCAAAACTTGGGCAAGAATGAACAAGCTATGATAGGGCTTTAGGCGCATCAACATAGAACTGAATAGAACGGCATGTTATTGCGAGTTCAGAGAGGCGTTTGTCATAGACGTCTTTGGGGTCGAATTTAGATGGATCAAAGCGGATGTACCTTTACATTTCAGTTTATTGCAAGTTCATACTCGTTCACGAATTAGTCAAGCTTATTCACCGTCAAATATGAGATGAGTGTGAAAATCGAAAGCATCATACCAAATTTCACCATCATAGTCACCAAACTATGAAATCTTGAAAGCAGGGGTTAGCAAATTGTGGGTTTCCACACATTGACGGGGTCAGCGTCTGATTGTAGTGGCTGCACAATGGGTATTCATCCTATTGTTTGTTCCTCTCGGATTTTCTTCGTGGTGCTCAACCACGGCAGGCACACAAAGTCGCACTCACAGAACGTTTCCTCGCAAAACCAATCACCCACCTACCTACGTCAATTTTCGCATCATCTCACCTTTTCTCACTCGCCATACGAGGGCCTAATCAAGTCAGAAATTGCAGATAGTCATCATGGGACGCCGGTTACACTGCAAGACTGCTCGCTTCTTGTGGGAGAAAGCCAGCCCCAAGCCTTGGAAGAAACGATACAAGTATCCGTACGAGTCGCAAATGAAGAGGAGAAACAGCCCCATCAACGTCAAGCTTCGCTGGGAATCAATAAAGGCCCATGGATTGGAGAAGAAGCCGTTCAAGAAGTTCATGAGATTGCCGAAGGAGCTGCAGCTAAAGATCTGGAACAACGCCTTGAGCAAGCCGGGTATTCACTTCTTTGCGGTCGTCGTAACTCCTCCCGACAAAGAGTGGAATCCCATGGATCCACATGCATGGAAGCCTCCTTTCATCCTCACGGACTGGCTATGCGAGGTCAGAGAAGTGAGGATCCCTCACGAATTCGAGACTCTGGTCCGGATGATGCGGGGACGAGGAACAGAAGAAGGGGGAATTCCGATGAGAGAGCCACAGCCGAAGGACCGCGGTAATGGGATTGAAATACTTCCGCCCGAGATAGCAGGAAACCCAGTTTTCGGTCCAGTGACTAGATGGAACACATATGAGCACGATGACGGTCAGTGGGTGCCGACACCGCCAGAACGAGGAATTAGTGAAGAGGCCAAACAAACATGCGGTCTTATCCGACTTGTCGAGCCAGAGGAAGGCCGGCCCAGCGGGAGCTTTCTTACGGCTGGCCAGAGCTTCCCACCAGGATGCGTGTCTGCGTACAAAACCTACGATAGCTTGAAGCGAGTCTCTAGCTCTAGTGAGGCCGTCGCTTTGAAGTCTATCCAGGAGTTCGATGAGCGACTTGACATCTCACTTGGGAATGGAAAGCAAGCCTCTATTGACGCAGCGCACGATCTTGTCTACGTCAAGTTCCTTGAGTGGTATAACCTTCCAAACAGCAGCTTCGGTCAGACCCCCATGTACAGTCGATCACCAAGTCTCTACCATCATCAACGGGAGTATCATTCTCTCTCTGGGATTCGACGAGTCGCGGTTGAAATTGAAGAAGGGTGGACGCAACGATGCATGAGGCCGCAGGTTCTGCGACGGGCAGGCGCTTGCTACTGTAGAGCAAGCCGCTCGTGCCATTCACCGGCGTACGAGGCAGCGCTCAAACGGCTGGTCTCATTCTTGTGGTGCTTTCCAGACCTAGAGTACGTCTACCTAGTGTTTCACTCGACTTCGCAGTGGGATTTAAGGAAGGGCGCTCGCAGGCGGTATACCACATTCGGCCCCATGGGCAGACTAGACTTCACGACTTCGAATCGCAAGTACAAGTGGGTGAAGCGAGAAGGCGACACCTTCTACTGCCCTGGGGGCACTCTTCGCGAACCGTCTAAGCCACTCGACCGCCTTTGCATGCTCGTCGACAACGTCCACTGGCATTACCATCATCTCGATGCTGCAGGTCACACTGACAGGATGAATGCGGTTAAATTCAGGATGCTGGGTTGGGCGATGGAGGAATGAAGATGCAAGTCTGCAATTGGCAGGATCCCTTGTCTGTGCTAAAAGAAAACCCTGTGCTCGGATAGCGTACGGTCCACTAGGGTATACCGAAGTAGGAGAGGCCCATCTTTAGATGTTTAGAACGACGAGGTCAATTGAGATATATAATGCATTCACATTGAGTATTGAGAGCACATCGTGAGAGCATGGAATTCGCTCAGTGAGATGTGATGTTAGACTGAGGTGCGGCGCCACACTTTTCATCAGCCACTTCTGCGCCTTATCGTGGCTTGACTCAATTCTTGTGATCCGAGCTGGGTTAGCCTAGCTCAGAAAAGCAGACCACCATTTCCTGGGGCGCCGTAGTCAAGGAATCTCGAAGCTGGCAATCGCTCTTCAATTCCAGCACAACTTCGCTGCATTGAGGCATTGGACCACGGCTATTATAGCCATGCGCTGGCGAGGCTCTCAAGATGCGACCACCGCGACTGATCCCTCGCATCCGCGCTCCTGAGAAGGTCTGCTGGCAGTGTAGTCTGCGACTCGGCCTTGCTCAACCTCGAGCTCAACCGTCGCGCCGTGCCATCTCCACCGGCACGACTGCGCGGGCAGCTGTACCCGTTACCGCGTCTCCTCGGCTGAAGACGAGCTATTTCCTCTCTAATAGCCTGCTCGATCGATTTAATGCCTCCATTGGCACCACAACAGCGCGGAAATCGGTAGCTTCAGTCACGGCCACCGATAAGTCGCCTTCCGATGTAGCGCACAGCGAGTCCTCGCCACAAATAGGCACCGCAGACCTGCCGCACCGACGCCGGCAAGCCGCCAAACGCCAAGCAGCTCAAGCCGCTCTATCACAGCATTCACAATCAGCAGGGGACCAAGCCGTGTTGCCTCAGAATGCCTCCACGATTCTTTCCGACAGCGCGGCTGCGCAGCCCGCCCGCTCCCTCCGCCGACTCTTCTCCGCCCTCCTCTCGCTCTCGAAACCTCGACTCACGGTTCTCGTGGTCTTGACCGCTATGGCACCGTATGCGCTGTATTCTGTACCGTCCTTCCTATCCGGCGCCGTGCTGGCCGAAACACCATCTCTCAGTCCTCTAACCCTCCTGTTCCTCACGACTGGAACCACACTCTGTTCCGCCTCCGCTAATGCGCTGAATATGCTCTACGAGCCAGCAACCGACGCCAAAATGAGCCGAACTCGAAATCGACCTCTTGTCCGCAACCTCATCTCCAAAAAGACAGCTCTCCTCTTCGCAGCGGCCGCCGCAGCTACCGGCATAGGAGCTCTCTACCTCGGCGTGAACCCCACCGTGTCCTTCCTCGGCGCCGCCAATATTGTACTGTACGCAGGCGTCTACACGCCCATGAAGCAGCTATCGTGGCTCAACACCTGGGTCGGGGCCCTCGTCGGCGGCATCCCCCCGCTGATGGGCTGGGCAGCGGCGGCCGGCGAGTCCGCGACCGGCGACGGCACGTTCCGCGAGCTTCTCTTCGCCTCGGACGGCTCCAGCCTCGGCGGCTGGCTGCTCGCGGGGCTCCTCTTCGCGTGGCAGTTCCCGCACTTCATGGCGCTGTCGTGGCCGATTCGGGAGGAATACAAGGCCGCCGGCCTGAAAATGCTGTGCTGGGTCAACCCGGCGAGGAACGCGCGTGTCGCTCTTAGGTATAGTCTTGTATTCATCCCCATATGTCTGGGCCTCTGCGCGACGGGGGTTACGGAGTGGAGCTTTGCGGTGACGAGCTTGCCCATAAACCTGTGGCTTATACGAGAGGCTGTCAAAATGTGGCGTTTTGAAGGACACAAGGGCTCGGCAAGAAGTCTGTTCTGGGCGAGTGTGTGGCACCTGCCTGCCGTGATGGTGCTGGCCTTGTTTCAGAAGAAGGGCATGTGGCAAAGGGTATGGAGGAGCGTGATGGGCGAGCCCGAGGAAGAAGATGATGATTGGGAAGATGACGAGGATTCCCTGCTGCCCCTTCCGGCGCCTACGCCTCACGGTGACCTCAAGAGCTGAGTATGAAATGAAGTACAAAGATTTGTTCTATCATAAGCCCGATGAGGTGTCATCGGCATTTGAAAATTGTTTGTACTATCAGGTACTTGGGATGTTGGCGACAAGGGCTATGCATGAGAGCGCAATGGAAGGTTTAAAGATTGGCAGGGCCTGCATTTTCCCATCCCGGATGCTTTCCACCCAGCTCCGTGGTATCTATATAATCTAGTGTACAATGTGTTCCTCATTACCTGCCGGAATAGACGCGCTCCACACCATCCACATCACTATTGTAAAGTGACGAGTTCCTCCTTATAAGTGACCGTGCTTGACTAAATGAAAAGACAGATTCAGTTTAGACGCCTCTTCTCCCGTATAACGCCGATATTCTCCGTGACTCCATTATGCCATCCATGCAGTGGAAAATTCATCCCGGTTCGTTTTAAAAGAATGGAAAGAGCAGTACGTGACAGTAAAGAAAACTAACGAAGGTTTGACAACGGCGCCGAACCCGTCAGGCACGGGGTTTGTGGGCGGCGATGGTAATGAGATGACAAATAAGGAAAGTCTATTATCACATGGGTCCCTGCTGTTGGGCACCCCCGGGGCGGTTGATGATCGCATCAATGCCCATGTCTACGCTCGGTAGTCTGTTGCCGTGATTCATGTACGGGCTGGCGGACTGTGAGTGCTGGCCATGCGGCTGTTGTTGGTAGGCGGCGGTTCCGGTCGAACTGACCGATGAGGTGTAGCCGTGATGGGGACCCTGTGGGTGACCATACCCGTATCCGGGATATGCCCCTTGAGGATGGAGTGGGGCGGTCGAGTAGGTCTGGGACGCAGTGCTACTACTGCTCTGGCCCCCGCCGGACGAGGTGCTGTTTCCGGGGCTGCCATAGCCGTCGATGTCATCTACCGGAGTCAGATCGATACCGCTGATGCCGCTGTCATCGTCATACCCGGTCAGGGGCTGTCCCGACTCGAGACGCTCACGGCGAGCCGCCGCTCGAGCAGAGGCTTGCAAGTTTTTCAGGCCATTGGACATGCACTGAGGGCCGTTAGCGGTATGCTCATCTAACATGCTGTAAGGCTAGGACCATTTACCTTCTGCTCCACGACGTTCCACTTCTCGCCTGTTCGAAGTGCCAGCGGTGCCCAGATCTCCTTGCGCAAGGCCATGTACTCCTTGGCCATCTTTTCCATCTTCCTCGTATCCCAGTCATCAGCGCCTTTGCGCTCCATCAGCCGCTCGTGCCGCTTCCGACACGCATTGGGAGTCTTGTTGGGAAAATAGTTCTGGTGGATCTGGGCCCAGTTCTGTCCCTGAGCACGTGCAGTCAAAAGAGTGTGGTCGTCCGAAGCATTCCAGGCTCCCGAAGAGGCCCGGTGCTGAGTTGGAAGTGGGGCCGGCACAGTGAGAGACGATGGCGCGCTGTTTGGGGGGATAGTCAGGGGCGCTACGGCATACGGGTCGTACTGTGACGGCACTGCCATCTGAGCCTGCGGAGCGGATGTTGCCACGTTTCCGTAGTAGTCTGCAGATGGGATCCTCTGGCTGCTGTAGAAAGCCATGCTGTTTTGGGACATGGGGTGTTGAGATGGAGCGAGTGAGACTGGCATTGGATTGGGGTAGCGGTGGTGGCTTGATGTTCGGGTAAGCTTTGGCATGCTCCTATTTAGATGTAGGTGCTTTTCAGCGACCTGGACGTTTTGCGAGGTAATAGATTGAGAACCTCGGCAACGAGTGTAGTCGGCGGTTGAACGAAGGTGATTATAGATTAATACCAGCACAACGTAGTTCAAATAGCGAGGGTTTGATATGCGGTGAGGCCGTTCTCGAGGCCGGACGAATCCGCAGAGATGAGTTGATGGTACTAGGTCAGGTCTTCCGTTCGTATCAAACGAAGGACTAACCAGCAACGACTGAAGTTTGGAGAATGAAGATGACGAAGAGACTAGAAAGGAAATGAAAGAAAACCGGAGAAGGCAAGGAAAAGGCTTGAGATGATGATTCACAAGAAAAGGAAACAGACAAACACAAGGAGACCGATGAAGCCAACCCGGCCAGCAGCAAGAGCCTTCTTACTTATAAAGGCAGGTTCAAAATTCGGTCTGGCTGCTGGCGGCAAGAGAGATCCGCAGAAACGGTATGCTCGCAGCTCGGAGACTGATGATGCTGTCAAGCAGCAGGAGCAGGTGGAACCAGGGTAGTCGATCTGAAACGACATTAGATAGACAACAACAGCCGTCTTGAAACCAGGCTCGTGTGTCTGAAAGAACGAGAAGAGCTGCCTTTGGCCTCTGATATTGGCTGACGGGTTTCGGAATGGCGTCTGTCTGAAGTTGGGCGGCTACGCTGGGGGCCGGTTGTGGATCCTGCCGTGGACGACGGGGAGTTGGCAGGGCGGCTAACAGTTCATGTATGTATCCATTCCATGGAGCATGGGGGTTTGACCCTTGACGCTAGGGGAGGAGAAGCAGGCAACTTGCCAGACCTCGGCGGCGCCAGCGGCATCAGAGTCAGCAATAGAGAAGGAAGACCAGAATATGAAAAGACAGAGAGGGGGGTGCAAATATGGACAATGGGGGCGACACACTGCAGTCTTGGCTACGGGCAGGCAATCGAAATGGGAGGGGCATAGACATGAAAGGTGGTCTATGGCATCAAGTGTGGAGAAGCGGAAGCGGAATGGGAAGAAGAAACAGACTGAGTTCAACATTGGAGCTCGACTGGGCTGTTCAAAAATAGCAAAGGGAGTGGAAGTTGGCACGAGTAGCCGCCAGCCTTGTAATGAGCCTCTAACCTCATCGAGCCGCCTTTGTCTGTCCATTGCGAACAGTCCATTATGCCATGTCGTGTGGACCCTGTCCACCGTACATCCCGATAAGGACAAGGCATGCCAACTCACCGTCCCAGCAAGGTTGTGTATGTATGGGTTGAGATGGTGTCACTTAACACCAGTACGAGCGAGCTAGCCTAGGAACCTCTTCGTATGATCCGTCAGGCGAGAGTCCAACGGTGGAAACAGTCTCTAGCTCTGGCTGAGAACTGGCGTAGGGCGGCACAGGGCGCCCGAGGACCAAAGAGCGTATCGCGGCCCCAGCGAAGCAGGCGGGCCGGGAAATGAAGAGGGGAAGTGCATTGCATGATTCGCAGACGCCAGGCGCGACTGATAATGAAGTGAAGAGCCGTACATCGCAAGCTAACAAGGCTCAGGTAGCATTGCGTGGTGGCAGCTTGCAGAGCGAGACGGCAACCTGGGAAAGAAAAGCAACTCGTGGTGGTAAGTCAGGTACGTGGAGGTCCAGTCAGATGGCGGGGTACCATTTGACTGTTAGGCGGTTGAAGCTGTCGATCAAGCCATGAAGCGTCAGTCTCTGGGGAGCAGGCAAATGACAGCGCAGGGAGCAGCATCGCGAGAAATGGTGAAACAGGACAGAGGAACAATGCTGGCGTGGGATTGGCTGCAATGCAAGTGGTATAGCTCGAACGGTCAGTCTTCAAAAAGGAGAGGACGGAAAGGAGAAAGAAAGAAGATGAACGCATCGATCGTCTCGAGGCGCGCGTCTAGACATCGTTTTAATTTTGGCGATCTCAATTAGGCTTGGCTTGTCCCTATTTTTGGCCCGCCTCACGTGCTGGTCCTCCCATTCGCTCGCTTCATTCACCCCTCCATGCAAGTAACTTGCCCCTAAAGTTGGCGGGCGAGATACCTACAATACCTCATCCCAAAGTAAACATTGCACGAGAAGGCAATTTCAAGTGTTTCCGGTAGCTACTCGCGGGCCGCAAGTACGTCTAACTCTCAGCCAAAAGGCAGCCTGTTGGTCGTTGGGCCTTTTCTCTGCTCCTTGTTTGTACTGCATTACCACCATTGCATGCATCTCGGTTTTGATCTGATCGTGCATCCAACGCGGATGGTAGATCGCAGCCACTGCGCAGATGCCACTACCTATAAGTAGATACGCAACCAACTAGATCAAGATTGTCGGCATCGCGCCCGCCAGCACGCCGCGCGCCAAGCACAACAGCTCCTGACCGTTTCGAGCAACAAATCTGATCAGTTCACTCGTCGCGCTATTTGCGCAAATTATGTTTCCTTAACTTGCACCGAACGAAGCGCGCGGGCCTCTTCACTGACCGACTCTGACCATTCCCACGACCTTCTCTCCAGGTGCTGTTTTGGGCCTCACCCAAGGAGACCGACTACGCTGTGGCGTGCTTCATATGTGATCCTTTGCTCGCTGATAAGAACCAACTGCATGAAATCGTTTCAAGTTTCCTTGGATCTATTTTGTCAATTTATCGTGTAAACCTGACCATCCTTTGGGGCTGGAGGTCGCGCTTGGGGCAGGAGAGAGAGATGGCGAGATATCTCCTTATTTCTTTACCGTCCTAATGAAGCTACAATCACGTCATCTTTTGTCAGTATATGCCAGGCTTGTCTTTTCATGTGATCTAGCCATGAGCAAGTTTAGATGATCGCAGTTCAATTCTGTGGTGCTGGGGCGCATCAACTTGCCCGAAAGCCAAATCGGTTAAACAAAGTCAGACAGAAGGAAAAGTCGCGATTGCGCAGTAATCACGGTGTTTCTGCGTAGCACTCAATCCCGGACCAGTTCTTAGATGCCTCAACCTTTCTTCAGTGAACTCATGACTGTGTTGCCTTGTGTCCCAATACATGCTGCTCACTTACTGCCCTAGAACGCGCGAATCGACACCGTATTTTGCAAGTCCGGTTATTCCTCCGGGACATCTGCTGGGTTGACCGTCAAATCACGCTCGCTTTCCCAGCGGGCGGCGGAGTATCGCCCGGGGCATTTTGCAGGCTTTCACGGCATTGTTCCCTTCCAATGGTAAGGGCGTGTGGCTTGCTTTTCAATTATTACGGGAGACAAGCGTAGCTGTCAGTCAAGACTTAAGCTCAGTCCAGTGAGGGACGTGGCGTCGTAGTGCCCGGCTTGGCTCTTCTAAGGGCTCTTTCGCCAGGAATTAAGCCGGAGGTTTTCAGCCAGTATCCGCCTGTTCCTCAAGCCTCTCGGTTCCTTCGAGCGGCGGCAGTGGGCAGCCACCGACGAGTGCACGATAGCCGACAATAGGGCCGATACTCACAGTTCCTCGCGGGCGGAGAAGCAGCAAATTTCCCTTATATTTCCTCCCAGCGTAGTGCGAACCGACCACACGCAGCCAATGGGTAATGCTGGCGAGAGGAGCATCCTGACTTCAGGCTAAATGCAGTGCGAGCAACCCCAGAAGCAGAAAGATCAGCACAGGAGATGTGCCGCGAAGCCGCCGCTATTCTCCACGTTTTTCTCCGCACACCAGGGCTGAAGGCCCAGCGGGGATGCTTGACTTACCTGCTGGCTCTCCACTTGGAGACATTGGAGCCGAGCGTGATGAGTTGTTGTAGCGCAGATGCCGATTAGAGATATTCTGCTAAGCGCCCCAGTTGAAGGTCATCAACGATACGCGTATGCGTCCGTTTCCCGGTTTATAGAAGGTCCCCTGTTGTCAAGATGTCTCTCACTAGTCTCGTAAGCAGTCAAGGTAAGAGTCGTAGAAGCCTAGAGCGTTTGATATCTACTTTGAGCCTTCAAGGGTTCTCAGATGGCACCTCTCAGGCTCTCACCATTCAACCGGCCCGCCGCGTCCCACTGATCCGTCAACATGCATCGGTACCGCGTGGTTCTTCAATTTACCCCTCATCCTTGTAAATCACTGTGTTCATCTTATAGGTTGCTTGGAGAATTAAGCCAGAGGTGGGTCGAGATGGACACTCCACTACCGTCCCTGCAGAAATGATCATATTTGATTTGCGCGGCGAGCTCATGTGTCATGCAAGAGACAGTTACAGTAAACTCTTAGAGCTATCCTCTCCACCGGTGCTAGTTCCAGACCACCCACAGACATGTGGTCTGCCGAATATTGGTTCGCCAACAGTAGTATAAAGCCATATCTTCCGCCCGGCTGGTTACCAGTAACCCAGAACTCGGTGGTTTGTTTTGCTAATCTGCTTTCTGAATCTTGGCATTCCATCGCTCTTCGTCTCACAGCCCAAATATTAGACCAAGTCAACCTTTATCTACAGGCCTGTTATCTCACAAGTTTGAGCGAGTGCGTGAAGAAGAACCGACAATGGGTGCTGGAGCAGATGCCGGCGCCGGCGCGTTCTATGATGCGGCTTTGTCGCGTCGACAAGCCCTTATGGGTGCTAGCGGCCCTATGGCACTGGTGAAGAACTTCAAGGTTTTTCGTATCGCTGCTTTTGCTTGTATCGGTGGTGTTTTGTACGGCTACAACCAGGGCATGTTCTCGGGTGTTCTTGCCATGCCGTCGTTCCAGGCGCGTGAGTCTTCCTCCACCAAGTAAGGCTTTTGTCATAACGATGCTGATACCCACAAAAGATATGGGGGACTACGATCCTATAGACCCCAATGCTAGCCAGACGAAGAAGGGATGGCTCACAGCTATTCTTGAGCTCGGTGCCTGGCTAGGAACTCTGCTGTCGAGTTTCCTCGCTGAGGCTCTCTCCCGAAAATACGGCATTCTCGTGGCAGTCTCCGTCTTCTGCCTCGGTGTCATCATCCAGGCAACTGCTATTCAAGCTGGACCCAACGCAATTCTCGCAGGTCGTTTCATAACGGGAATGGGAGTTGGAAGTATGGCAATGATCGTTCCTATCTACAACTCTGAAGTCGCCCCGCCAGAGGTCCGCGGAGCTTTGGTGGCGACCCAGCAACTTGCCATCTGCTTTGGTATCATGATCAGCTTCTGGATCGATTACGGGACCAATTATATTGGTGGAACAAAGGCTGGCCATCAGAAAGACGCTTCTTGGCTCATCCCGATCTGTCTACAACTCGGTCCTGCCTTGGTTCTTTTCGTCGGCATGATCTTCATGCCTTTCTCCCCACGGTGGCTTGTTCATCACAATCGAGAAGACGAGGCACGCCGAGTGCTGGCAAGTCTCCGTGGTCTTCCGCAGAATCACGAGCTGGTCGAACTCGAATTTTTAGAGATCAAGGCTCAATCCCTTTTCGAGAAACGAACAGTGGCCGAACACTTCCCTGCGCTGCGTGAGCAAACGGCTTGGAATACCTTCAAACTGCAGTTTGTGGCCATCAAGTCGCTCTTCCAGACCAAGAGTATGTTCAAACGTGTTGTTGTTGCGACTGTTACGATGTTCTTCCAGCAGGTAGGAGACCTCTCCCTGAATAAAGCTTTGGTGTTATCTGATCTCTAATTCCAACCGCGATGTAGTGGACTGGTATCAATGCCGTACTTTATTATGCCCCGACAATCTTCAAGCAGCTTGGTCTCAGCGGAAATACCACCTCGCTGCTTGCAACAGGAGTCGTTGGTATTGCCATGTTCATTGCCACCATTCCTGCCGTCCTCTGGATTGATCGCGTTGGTCGAAAACCAGTGCTAACAATCGGTGCTATTGGTATGGCCACCTGCCACATCATCATCGCTGTCATAGTCGCCAAAGATGATAATCGATGGGATACCCAAGCTGCGGCGGGATGGGCTGCTGTAGCCATGGTCTGGCTCTTCGTCATTCACTTCGGCTACTCCTGGGGTCCATGTGCATGGATCATTGTGGCTGAAATTTGGCCATTGAGCTCTCGTCCTTATGGCGTATCGCTGGGTGCTTCGAGCAACTGGATGTGAGTCGTATATATGCCGTCAACCGATGGGCACATGCTGACGCAAACTGGTAGGAACAACTTCATCGTTGGTCAGGTCACTCCTGACATGTTGAGCGGCATCACTTACGGCACTTACATTCTCTTCGGTATCTTGACATATATGGGAGCCGCCTTCATTTGGTTCTTTGTTCCGGAGACCAAGCGTCTGACTCTGGAAGAAATGGTATGTTATTGATGTCCTCCGACTCCGGTAGCGTATTGGATAAGAGAACTAAATCCCCAATTAGGACATTATCTTCGGATCCGAAGGCACAGCACAAGCTGACTTCGAGCGAATGGAAGAGATCAACCATGAGATCGGTCTCACTCAGATGCTACGTGGATCTGGCGCGATTGGCAGTGATGTAGCTATTACCGAGAAGGAAAAACTTGGTGAGCACGCTGTAGCTGCTCACGAGCACACCGAACCATAATATTGTCCTGGGAAATCTGCGAATGTGGTAAGAGTGAAAGCGGAAGATTTGCAGGATGCAATTCTAGCGAGATACCATGCTATTTAAGCAGCAAAACACATCTAAGTTTATTGAGTTGTTATGAAACAATAACACATTAGTTTCCTTCGGATCTTACCTGAGTTGCGCTCGCTTCAAATGACATTCAGGATTGAAAGCTGCCGCGTGAGCTACCACCCGAAATGGGTTTAATTCTGTAATTTCTGATCAGAGTCAACTGTACAGAGAATTTGCCCGTCTTTATATCATCGCAGCATTGGGTTGTTAGTATGAATACGCTACCTAGGCAATTTCACTGTGTTTGTAGGTGTTGGTCTGTGATTGGCATGTTCTTCAATGATTGAAGGCGCTTGTAATGGTCCCTCTACGACTTGTGCAATGTCGATATCCTTCTCAATTTACCTAGGGGCAAATTGTTCGGTTCGGCGAATCAAGACCATGTCGCCTCGCAAGCCGGCGTTGGAACCATGCCACATCGGGTACGGCGATCACCAAACAGGTTTTGGCCCGGACCAGGAATACGACCGCTCTATTGAACAAGTGTGGCAAACCGCGCTCATCAATTGGTCAATCAGTCCGGAGTACAGGTCTTGATGCTATCCGCTGCCCGTACCACACGTCATGTCTCTGTACCTCACAAGATGTGACAGCTGTTGCCCCCTCCTTTATCCGCGCCATCGCGACTCCTGAAGCAAACCACTTCTTCTCTCAACCGCTAACGAGTGCCTAATATCTAAGGTCCAGATCAGTCCATCATGACTACTGAAAGAACGCGTTGTCGATAGCATCATGACCTCACCCGTGACTCTGCTAGGGCCGCTGACGGAAACATGGACTCCTCCAGGCTTGTGCACAGTCGGCATGGCGCTGTGCGAGACATGCACAACTGTCTGGCAAGCGCAGACGTGTAATCCCAGCAGCAAGGCGCACGACTGGACTGATTGCTGGCCACCGCGCGCCAGTTCGATGGCCGACCCGGGTGTAATGATGGGATGGGGACTTTATTCACCTGGGTATATCTGTCCAGCGGGCTATACCACAGCAGCTCGCGCAACGGCGGGCGGTTCGACGGATAAAGGTTGGGGCATTGAATATAGCATGAGCGATGGCGAGACAGCAATAGCCTGCTGCCCGAGGTAAGTCGTCATGTTAAAGAAGACAAGGACGCCTATTGACACTCTACAGTGGATTCTCCCCATCCTCTATCTCAACACTTAACACGTATGCTCAAACATGCGTTTTGACGGCAACTTCGACGTCCTTCTCCACAGTCAAGTGCGATGATGGTCATTTCGATGACTATTCACTTGTCAGCCTGCCGAACAGCCAAGCATCTTCCTACATCATATTCGCGCCACTGTTCCAGCTGAACTTCCAGGAGTCCGATCTGCCACCGGTGACCACCTCTGAGTCTGCAGAACCAACATCAACGACTGCCTCGCCGTCGTCAACCAGCGCTATTCCGTCCCAATCTTCTACCTCTGACGCGTCAAGTTCAGGGTCGTCAGGCACAATCTCTTCAGGCGCTTCGTCTACCATTGAGAGCAGTGGCTCCTCCACGCCATCAGCCACGGGAGGCGATAGTTCTGGTTCTGGTTCAAGCACAGGGTCCTCTTCCGGCGGGTTATCGAGCGGTGCCAAGATTGGCATCGGTGTAGGTGTTGCCGTAGGAGCGCTGGGCTTACTCGTCGTGGCTTTTCTACTCCTCCGGGCGAGGCGGAGGAGGAAAGAACCCAAGTTCCTATCGCCGACAGACCCCAAGAAATTACCACCACCACCCCAAGCTGAGCTTGGAAATAATGAAGTTCGTGAGTTGGAAGCTTCGAATAATCCTCAGGAGCTAGCTACAAGCCCACAGCGTCGGGGACTGACACCGCCACCCGGGCCAATATTCCGTCGATCCGAAGGCTTCCCATACGAAGCACCGCCTATCTTCGAGCTCGAGGGGGACAGCACCCCGAGTACACCGGTCCGGAGAGATATTGATAGTGTTCCTGGGACACCTACTCGTAAGGAATCATAGATGGTTGTAGGTGGCCCAGGTGACTCGGAAGTCACATGTGCGACATTCAGTTCTATCATCTAGAGTACACGACAAAGTACGCGAATAATGTTGAATGCTAATTAAAGGCGGGTTCGAGAATGAAAACCCGAAATATATAGAGATACCCGAGAAATGAAATACGCCGCGTTAGCAGCTTAGTTTATGTGAAGTCCTCACCTGATCCCATCACACTCCGGGTGGCGCCTAACTGAAAAGATGCCACTAATTTCGGGGAGCCTATATATTAGGGTCAAGGCCAGCCTTTCCGTGATGCCCCACTGAAGTTGACTTGAAGTTGCATTACGAAATCAGAGATCTCTTGAACCTTTGATTTCTGCGAGTTGAAGCACTCATTCAATGATGGGATACTCTTCCGGATATTTCATGAGATACTTGCATTTTGCGGAGGAATATGATGCAGGTAGGATCAAGCCATGATGCCAGACGACGTCAACTATACACCGCGCGGGGTTAGAGGCGTTCTCCTTTTGGTGCCGGACGACTGTCACCCTACTTGGCTTCCATTACTCATTTCGACACCTGTGAACACATGTATGATCTTCTCCGTTTCATTCAACCAGATTTTCGAGTGTCTTGGAACATTTTGAGATATTAATAAACAGACAGCAATGGTAGTCGAGTCTCTTCTGGACAGCCTTCGAGGTCTAAGTGCGGTTGACTGTGATACCCTCGATAGTGATGGTGAGCAACATGGAAATATTGAATAAAATGGCAGTGGCAAAGATATGAACGCCTGGCTAACTTCTGGAAGTGGCCAAGAACATCGGACCGTTCGTCGACTGTACTTCAAACCAGGCGAGTCAGATCCGGAATATCAAGCCTTGCTTATCAGTTGTCTAACACACAATACTGTGCACTAGGCCATCGCATATTCAGAATTAATCAAGAAAGGCCCGGATGGAGTGTCATTCATTCATGAGAAATTGATCAAAGAGTCGATCCGAGATGCTCATTGGATGCTCGCCAAACAACCAGACTCCATCCTGGAAGAGCTAGCTGTTGAGATCATGGCATGTTAACACTCGCCGTGATTGCCTTTCGCGAGTTTCGCTAAAGCAAGTAGATGGTCCGGCTGGCTCTCGACATTGTCCCGCATCTGTCAGGGTTCTCTCACATTCAAACAAACCCTAAGTATTCGTATTCGACCGAAAAGACAGTCAAGAATGCCGAACGTAGTCATCCTGTACTGGCTGCTAGTGTTGTACCGTAGCTAATGGCTTTGGGTCGCAGGGATCGTTTCTCATTTCAAGCAGTTAAGCCCGGATTATGATGCTACGCGTATATGCATCAAGATTCCATCGACTTGGGAAGGCTTGCAAGCATGTCGTGAGCTTGAGAAGCGCGGCATCGCTACACTGGCCACGACCTTATTTTGCATGGAACAGGCTGCCCTAGCAGGCGATGCCGGATGCACATACATTGCTCCGTATGTCAACGAATTGAAAGTCCACTTTGTTCCCGGGTAAGTCGAGCCAGGTCTCTTCCGGGAAGAACGCAAAACCAGGGCAAGTGTACTGATAATCAACAGATATAAAGACGCCAATAAAGCCTTTGCCCTCTGTGGCCAAGCCCAACAGTATTACCGTTCTCTTGGCATAAGGACAAAAGTTCTTCCAGCCAGCTTAACATCGATTGATGAAGTGATGATGCTGGCTGGAGTAGATCACATCACTATTTCACCACCATTGCTTAAAGAGCTTGCGAGCATCCCAGCAGAGTCCTTCAACGGCGATGTCGGATCGGTCTTCAAAACCCCTAGCCTTGTAGATGAAGCATTGCAGTATCAGTTGAGTGATGAAAGCGCATGGCGTTTGTCGTTCACCCGGAGTGGCGGTGGAACTAGTGAGAACAAGATCATTCAGGCAATCAATACCTTCTCGGACATGCAAGATCAGCTTGAGGCTCTGGTTCGGGATTTCGATGCTGCAACATAAAATATGGTTATGCGACATCTGTGATAGATATATCAATACAAACTGCGTTGTAGGCTGTAATGGAGAATCCAGAGTAGAAACTGATATACCAAATTTGGTCCAGGTACTAATCAATAGCCGCCCAAACAACACTTCCAAACTCGTCAAGGGTTCACCGAAGGAACCCTGCAGTCGGGAGGGTCGCTGTTAGCGCCAATCTTGATGGCGTCCACTCAGGCCATTGTGCCGGATTTTGTCTCGATTTTGGGTTTAGATCATAGATAACATGGGAAAGCCCATGATAAGTGGCGACTATCTCTTTAACACTACGAGATGAATCGAATCACATTTGCTCTGGAATTGATGGGACGAGATGCTTCGGATACAACGGAGGGCAGCCAGTGCAAGAAAGAGGCAATCTGCAGTGAATTTGAGAACAATGTTCGGCATGGAAATACCGGAGATCCTCAAGTCTCTCTATCACAGTTAGGAAAGCCCGGCGTCAAGCTGACAGATATTGCAAACACCTGGCTACCTAGCTATTGCCTTTGGATGTTAGTGGGATCGAATTGGGGTAGTTCTGGAAGATTATTTAGTACGAGCGGCGTGGCCGATGCTGGTGGGGTGCCCGATCCCTCAACTTCAAGTGCAACCATACAAGGCAGGCGGGTTTGCTGGGGTACGGCAAGGTTACAAGCACGCATAACCCATGATAACTACTCAGACATTTACTTCACTAAAGACCGGCCGGTTCCGCTTATGGTCCCGAACCACTGCTTTCTGTATGCCTCGATGGATGAAGGCACGCAAAACATTTAAGCCTAGTAGACTAGATAGAGATCTCACTTCGAAATGGCAACGGCAGAGCTGTATTAATGTCTCACGGCCAAGTCCGCTAGACTCCAGTTTACCTGCCTATACCTGGCTGCTATCAACCCCCAATCTTGCCCCCACTCTGGAGACGGTGGCTGCAGTGGACCGTGGTTCGTAGATATGCCGAATGGGAGAGAGAATGTATTCTTCACCTTGTCGCGATTTGACTGAATTGACCATGTTTATTGCTACTTCGGCTTGTTTGGCTTGTCCAGTCTTGCAAAGTGTGCACAGTGTCACGAGTCTGAGCTCACTGACAGGCCATGAAGCAGGCTTGACAGGCCATGTGCTTGTGCCGGTAGCCTGACGCGATGCAGCGCAGGGATCTGGTTCGGACCAGGGACCCGCAGGCTGTTACTCGATTCTATCGAGTCAACTCTATCCCGTATCGCAGACACATGCTTGTCTATGATGATCTCGATTCCTCCGCTAGAGATAAGCTTCTCAAGCCTCGTTTCTTCCCAGAAATGTCGCACCAGAGCTGCGTAATTTCGCAGTCCAAGCAATGCTTAGTTTCGCCGACTTGCAGAGCAGAACCACTAAGCTCCAGTCTTATGCTGCCCCTGGCCTCGGCCGGCGCTGCGGGAGGCGGGACAGTGACGCCAAAGCAAGCTCGGCAAGACAAGGAAACATGCTGGAGCGAATCGTGATCTCTGCCCCAAAGCTAAGCTTCGCACTGGTGGTTGGGAGGCTGATAAGCCGCTCCTTTTTCATTGGGTCTATGTTCCGCCTTAGTGACGCCACGCCTCCACGCAGAGTCTCTCTCCAATTGCGGTTAGGATAGTGAGCTCGATGCCCCGGCTTTCCCCCCAGCTGAAGAGGGTCCTCCTTATCGCCTATCTTTGCCCATTCCTGTCCCTTATCATGAACTGTGACCAACAGGATGGCGCCCCATACTCGATTACCTGCACAGAAGGCTGCAATCTGCGTTCAATCTGGGGCCCAGGTCCACGATCGACAGGTGGTGGATGCCGCCGTGCGAGGGCAAGGTACTTTTGGTTGCATCCCAGTGGGAACATCAGCCGGCCTAAGGAAGCATGCCGTCGGCGCATGCTTCTCATATTGGGCGGCGGGTGAGCTTCTACAGAGCGCGGCCGCCAGCTGCCGATTGAGCTGTATAAAGAGAACCGTGGAACCCATGCTCCCCTCCCTGTGCTGTGGCACTCGAGTTTGCTTTGTCCCCTTCAATCCACCATCTAGGTCCGCCACTGTGCCAATCTCCTCGTCGGCGACCAGGGAACATAGATTGGTCAAACCAATACCGCCACAATGAAGAAGTTCAACAAGGAAGGCATTCGGAGGAAGCTCACCTCTGTTCACGCATGGGAACTCCCCAAGCAGACCGGCGCTTTGGCGCCGGTCTATGTCTGGGTTAGCATTTTGAATCCTCACGGTGCTGAAGTATCCCGTCAGAAGATCTCGACTGACTCTCGTTTCTAGACGAACCGTGACATGGATCCGACGCCCATCGAGGACCAGACTTGGAATATCTGGAGTATCATGGCCTACTGGGCTACCGACACCATCAACCTCGGTACATGGGAAACTGCTTCTGGTATTCTTGCCGTTGGTCTATCCTGGCGTGAGGCCATTCCATGTATGGTTGTTGGCACGTTCTGTGTTGCCATTCCTATGGTTCTTAATGGTGCCATTGGTGCGAAGCTCCACGTCCCCTTCTCCGTCATTACAACCAGCTCCTTCGGCTACTACCTGCGATACTTCTGCATTGTCTCCCGTGCGATCCTCGCCATGTTCTGGCTAGGTATTCAAGGCGCCAGCGGAGCGCAGTGCATTACTATCATGCTTTGCGCTCTAGCACCAAGCTACAACAGAATTCCCAATCACCTGCCCGCGAATGCCGGTATCACTACTCAGGGCATGTGCTCGTATTTCTTGTTCTGGATCATTCAGTTGCCGCTTCTGCTGATCCACCCCACCAAGCTCAGACCCATCTTCGTGGTCAAGCTTGTTGCTGCTCCCGTGGCCGCTATTGCCACTATGGGCTGGTGCATCCACAAGGCTGGCGGCGGCGGTGATATCTTCAAGTTGCGAGCCGAGGTTGGGGGCTCAGAATATGCTTGGCTATGGCTGAAATGCATGACCTCTGTCACCGGATCGTGGGCGACGCTGGCTTGCAACATCCCCGACTTCACCAGATATGCAAGATCTGCCAACGGACAGTTCATTCAGCTGCCTTTCTTACCCATCATCTTCACCGTCTGTGGTGTGCTTGGTATTGTTACGACCTCCGCCAGCAAGGTCTTCAGCGGCGAATACCTGTGGAACCCCCTTGACATTATCAGACTCTGGCTTGATAATGGCAGTGGCGGCCGGTGCGCAGCATTCTTCGCTGCGCTGGCCTGGTATGTTGCACAGGTCGGCACGAACATTACAGCCAACTCTATCTCGGCTGCCAATGATCTGACTGTCTTGTTCCCACGATGGGTCAACATCAAGAGAGGATGCATGATCGCAGCCGTGATCGCCGGATGGGTCCTTGTCCCGTGGAAGATTCTGAGCTCTGCCTCGACTTTCTTGGCCTTCATGGGCGGCTATTCTGGTTGGTTTTGCTCTAGCTATTTGCCAAGCGAGATTCTCAGTAATGACTAACGACTGAACAGTCTTCCTTGCACCGATTTCTGGTATCATGGCCGCCGACTACTGGCTGATTAAGAAACAGCACGTTGACATTCCTGCGCTGTATAACCCTCACGGCCGATATAGATTCATCAGTGGCTGCAACTGGCGTGCTGCTGTCGCCTTTCTAGTTCCCGTCGGACCTCTGCTGCCAGGTCTCGCGCTCAGCATCAGTGGCGACACGAAGGTCCACATTTCTGTAGGCACGCAGCACCTGTATACTTTCAACTGGTTGTTTGGCTTTGTGACATCCATTATTCTATACACCGCCTTCAGTCTTATCTTCCCTGCGAAGAAGACGGTCCTCACTGACACGATCTGGGGACTCGATGGTATGATAGACGGCCAAGGTAGTGACGAAGAAACGGGTCACGGAAGCACACAGGGTAGTGGCAGTGGAGAGCCAGAGAAGCACGTTCAAGAGAGTGATGCCAAGCCGCTGTAAGTCGCTGTAGAAGCGACACGGAGTAGTGTCTGGTCTTAGCCATTGCCCACGATGTGCCGTGTGCCCTTTTAGATGTGTAAAGCAGGTCGGTTGGTCTGTAGCGTCGATAGAGCGGCGTGCGAAGTTAACTTAGATACCCTACTGCAATACAAGAAAGTGTGCAAGTATATGTGAGATGTTTCTATAGAGGTATCATTAATGAGACGTTTGAGATATGTGCTACTCGAAACGAAGGGTCTATCCTCGGCATCGGATACGGCAGGACCCAGTATCAGGTGTAAAGGTTTGCCCTGAGACTCATGGTCGCCGGCGCATTATTTAAGTTAGAGGTCCTTCCGCTTTCGCCAGGCTCTTCCAATCGAGCTAAATCTTTGCCTCTCCATCAATTGGATATTTGTGTTTGCATTAATTGCGAACATAGAAATCGCTCATTACCACTACACCGCGACCAACATACCTCTTACAGCCAACAACAAACTCCTCATGCACCTCCCTATCCTGCCGCCACCCGGCTGGCTGGAGACAGTTGCCGCGCGATATTCTTCGTTAAAGGTCCACTGGGAAGTTGCGTATATCGAAGGCGGCATACGCGATATCCAAGGCGTAGAGACGCTCCCTCCCGAAGTTCTCGAAGGTGTCACGATGATCTGCGTCTACCCCCCAACGAGACCCGAGAGTGTTCCCAATGTGCGCTATGTCCAGCTTGCATCCGCTGGCTATGATCGTTGAGTCTCACATCCGTGTTTGCTCGATCCAAAGGTAGCATTTTGCAATGCAAGTGGTGTTCACCCGTATAATATATCTCAGGCATCCTCATATGGGGTCAAGGATTAACGTCAAACTGTAGACCTCAAATTGCTGAATGGGTAATTGGTTCGTGGCTGTCTCAAAAGCATCAGTTTGAGTTATACGCACAGCAGCAAAAGGAGCACGTCTGGCAGCCTAGATATGATAAGACTGTGACGGAAACCGCTGCACGTCGAATGTAAGTGATCGCGGTCGTTGATGCCCTCTGCTTTCCGCGGGTTTAATAAAGGAGCGGCAGGGGAATCTTAGGTTACGGCGCCATCGGTCGACAATGCGCCCGTCTCGCCCAGGCTTTCGGAGTCGAGGTCTATGCTTATATCCGACACCCTCGTACGACACCGGAATCAAAGAAATTGACTACTTACTATGTTCCTAGCACTAGCGACCCAGATGGTCATATCCCAGCGAAATGGTTCTCGTGGAGCCCGAGAGAGGTTATCAATGAGTTCTTGGACCAAGACCTTGACGTACTCATTGTCTGCTTGCCCTTGAACGATTCTACCCGTGCTCTTATCGGCCCCGAGCAATTCCAGGTCATGAAAGAAAAACAGAGATTTGTATTAAACATCGGCCGTGGCCCTATCATTTATACTGATGCCCTCATATATGCTCTCAATACGTGGTTCATAAGTGGTGCTGCCCTTGACGTTACTGGCCCTGAACCGCTTCTCAGAGAGCATCCTCTCTGGGACGCGCCTAACGTATTCATCACTCCTCATGTCGCTTGGTGGTCTACAGATGTTTTGGCCGGGCCGCAAACATTGTCTGAATGAATTTAGAGAGACTGAAAAATGACCAAAAGCCCTTGAACATCGTTGAAAGTCATTAAAATGTTACCATAGATCGTACACTTGAGTGTACAGCCACAAGAGAGCCACAAACCCAAAATAGATCAATGAATACTATTCATTAGTAGAGGTACCTAGAGATAGCACTTCTGATTCGAAATTTTCACGTGCCTTTCTTCGTTACTACGTCATGCAAGACAATTGTTTCCGACAACGGACACGATAGTAGAATTAACAGTCATGGCATGGAAGTAGCGGAAATTGAGTACGATGTGTCATGGGATAACATCTCCTTGATTTTTTTAATAAAAAAAAAGTTGTATCAACAAGTATATGACGGTCCAATCACAGCCCACTCTCACATGTTGCTGTGAGAGTTGGAGAACTACGATGCGAACACATTCCTATCTTCGGTGTGGCATTGGCGAAACCGACACATAAGGTGATAGGTCTATCAAATGGTGACACAGTTGGGCTCGATCGGTGTCAAAGTTCCCGCACCTTTGAAGACTTCCAGAATGTCGGCCTGCTCCGACAGCATCATCCTCTCGGTTTGGTCGCCAACCTTCGCCAAACTCCTCCAACGCGCAAAGTCCTCAGGGTGTCTCTTGTCGCCGTGAGCTTTCTCGGGGAATTCCCAGTGACCCCGTGAAAAAGCAATAGTAGTCGTAATCTTTCTGTTTGGTATGTCGTAAATGAGAGACACAATGGTTCCCGTTTCCTCTATTGCATTGTTAGCATAGGGCAAGAAGAAATATTAAAGAAAGCAGAAAGCGAAATGAACATACCGAGCCACGAACATTGCCATAGCTCTCCTGGTCGGATGCATTGAAACTGACAAGTCTGGTAATTAACCCGGCCTGCCATCGGTCCGCCCCAGATGGCATAATTGACGCGATTTTCTGAGAAAAACCACAATTCATACTTCCACTTCTGTGGATTACCTTGCTCGTCTTGGGCATCATAATTGTATATAAGGTGCGTGTCGCGTATGTCTCTGTTAAAGGATGAGTGGAGAGGCGTATTGCTCAGCCATTGGGGGTAAGTAGTTGCCATACTGGCAAATTCTGATGATGGTATGAATAACTATAGGTTGATGTTTGGTATGAAGTTCGGAAATTGAAGATTCGACCTATTCTTGATGTCTCAAATTATGCGGATGAACTTGTTTCCGCAAGATACGCCACCAGTTGAATTAGGAGATAACTCTATCATCAATTGTTGTTGCAGCGAGTCAGGCGATCCACAATCTTCCGCCCTTCGGGCCTCCATCTGGTGATAAGCCACCCACTGGAGGGTGGAGATAGGGCTGAAGAGGCGTTATTTTCTAGCCACTTTTAGGTAGCGTTAGGGTGAGCATTACGCAGTGGTGAAGCCGAAGTATTGATCAAGAAAGCAACATTCGCCGACGTGGAAGATTCTTACTTCAAGCGTCTCAAGATCTTAGATGACTAAGCTACTCTTTTTGTGATTTAAATTTCCATTCTCTCTTTATAATTTTAAGCTAGTGGCCATGGATGAAGATAACAGGCAGGAAGTCTTACTGATGAAGTCATCGCGTAGCGTATATATATGCTCTTAACTTTGTCTTCGTCTTGAACCAATATGAATTTTGGCGATAACCCTCCAAATTCATACATAGTTTTCAGTATTTCCACTATATTAGAGCTCACCATCGGCAGTATCACATAACCGCCGTAGCCAATGTCCAGCATCCTCAGAATCTATCCTCGAAATCGTGCGTATAATTCTGAAATACCCTCTCGAGGCACGAGAAGTATATAATGCATTAATAGCAATTCTCACTAGTATTCAAGGACCGCGGTGGCACGATCTCGATTGTTTCGCCATTTGGACCCCATTCGGATTTCCACGTAAATACACGCTAGAAGCAAGCTACACAAGCCCCCTAAAATAGTGTAAGTCCATCCATATCCAATGGCTTGCGTTGCTTTATCAATTAAAGAGACCAGTACAGCGGCCAGTGAACATCGCACCAAGTTGGTCTTGTCCAGTTGGTTAGCATATGCGTAACAAACTGGAAATATTGACTCTTACACAAGCAATGACCCCTGAGCTCTGTTGCTTTATGATATCGATCATTAGTGTCATTGTGGCATTCAGAACGGAGATAGAAGTGTATCCGACTAGAGAGATAATTAGACTGGCGAATCAAGGATGTGGTGATGGCAACTTACGTATTGCTTGGAGAACTAAGGGCACGGCAATGTTGGCCTTGACCTGGATAGACCATCCCCATCCAATCACGCTGCCAACAAAGATCAACAGGAGCACTGGGATCATTCTGAGTCGAGCATATTCAATGGGAAATTTTGACTCGTCCCAGCTGCCCGAATCCTCTCTGATGGTAGAAGTGCCGTAATGTTTTTGCTTGATTCGAGCATAATCCTTGTCCAGAAGTTTTCCTGTGATTGTTGAGCCCAATACCATACCTACCCCGGTCGATAAGTAACAAATTCCAACTAAAGTCTCTGATAGGTATGGATATGTTACTGTAAATGAAGAAGAAATGGTAGAGGTGATTGTATAATTCACGGCGTATACTATCCCGGTGTATGACAAAGTTAATGCGATGTCTGGGTATATGAGGAGACGAAAAGGATTGGCGCTAGAGCGCTTGTCGCCAATCTTCTTCTCCGATATCTTAGTTGGTATCATCGAAGCCCTCTTTGGCCCAATGATGGGTGTAAGTGGTCTCCATAACAATCCACCGGGACTGAAGCTTCCGTTTCCAACCAATGCTCTCATTGTTTCAGGTAAGAAAAATAGTAGCATAGCAAAACAAGCAGCGGAGAAAATGGCTAGGAACCAAAATATGCTTCTCCACCCAAGATGCTCTGAGAGGGCGCCACCCAACGCTGGGCCGATACAAGGCGCAAGCATGGGACCGAGGTTGAACCAGCCAAAGAAACCACCACGTTCGTCAACGGTTGCGATATCGCCAATGAGACCAGCCCCGAGTGCGATCATGCTCGCGCAACCACCAGACTGGATTGCCCGGAGCAGCAGAAGAAGCCAAAATGCCGATGTTGGGCATAAGGCTAACCCTACGCAGGAGCCAACAAGGATGAGGAGGCATATCAGAAAGAGCGGTCTCCTCCCGTATCTATCTGACAGAGGACCCCAAAGCATTGGCGAGCATCCTTGCATGGCCAGATATATGGTCACAGTCAGGTTGATATCTTCAACCGATCGATTAAAAACTATCGCCAGCGTGGGTATGGCTGGAAAGTAAATGTTTGCTGGCAAAGGGCTGAATAAGCCTGCTACAGCTACCATCCCAACGAGTACCCATTTCTCCGGTTGGCTGTAAATGCTATATGGAGCATTTCGAGTGACCTGGATAGGATCAGGAGGTGTCAGCGATCCTATAAGATGGTCTTCGGTATTGACAATGCTTGTCGCATTGTTGCTTTTTGCCTCTGGCATGGCATTGGTACGCTGTGAGGAGAGAAGGCTCATTAGTCTAAGGCCTACTGAGATTTAGCACTGCACAGGCAATCAGCAGTAGTTTTGAGTTATATGGTTTGCATTACACCCAATTGGGCATCCAAACGACCGGCCAAGAATCGGCCCTCGCGTCTTTGCTGCCCAGATTTGCAGGTGGAACCCAACGAGTCAGTAGCTTCCCGCGAGTCTCACTTAGGGACACTTAGCTTCCACAAAAGCCGCATTCAGTTCGCTGACATTCAACTTTTAGTTGTATCATTGGATTGAAGGCCATCGATAATGCTATTTGCCGGCCGGTCCGGCAGGCAGGGTAGAAGCGATAACACAACTAATAATGGCCGATATTGCTGCCGCCGGGTTCTTTGGCAGCGTTCTCGCCTTTCCCTTGTAACATTCTATTATCGAGGCCAATAATTTGCGACTCAAATCAAATCCATAAGGGCTGATGGAGCCGTATCCGCCACCGGCAAATCCCCAGGTCCGAGTGTTCAAGCGCGTGTCAAAGGCCTGCCGGAGGTGCAGGCGTCTGCGGACGAAATGCACCAACCAAGGGGGTGTGCCCCCCTGTGAGCCGTGCCGTCAAGCAAATCAGGAATGCAGCTTTCCAATCCGGGGTGAGCCAGATGCCGACCGGGCCTTTCGGCAGCCAAGGTCTCGGACCTC